GTGCTTAGGCACAATTACATACTTCAAATATTCTCTATAACATACCAAATCTTCTAAAACCAAAGCTAAAGGCTTTGGTTTTATATCAAGGGTAAGCCAACCCTGGCCTCCAGCTGTGGTGAAATCACCACATGTCTCTGGTGTCAGAGTCTTTCAGTGCCTAATAGGATTTGTAGTTCCTCAGCAGCTGGAGGGCCAGAGTTTACCTTCCCCTTGTTTAGATACAGTATACTTTAAGGATAATTAAAGCCTCCGTTATTTTTTGCATATGTATATATGCAAAAAGTGTAAAAAAAACAAAACGTTTTGAAAAGGGTTAATACTTACCTGTGTCTTCCCGTCCAAAAATGTGAAAACTCTCGGGCGGCTGCAAAGCATCTTGGGGCGGGCGCATGCGCTGCAGGGGAGTTAAGTATAGAAGATTTTAGTGCTGATGTTAAAGTGACATTAAAGTCAAAAATGTTTTTCCCTCCCCCCAATGTTAATGAAAGCACTTACCTTAAATTATGTGTCAGCAGAGAGAGATGAAAAGGTATTTGGAATATGTACGTGTAGGAGGCAGACAGACAAGGAGAAGAGAGATTAGTGTTGATCAGCAGCCAGTCTCAGGATATGTGCACATAAGTGACATTTTCGGCCGGGACGCAAGGAGAAACACAAGGTAAGTCTATGGACGCGTGCACCCACATGCAGACACCGTGGGACAGGAAGTGCCAGCAAGCTCAGAGGAGTCAGCACTGGATCGGAGATCAGTCGTACCGCTGGAGGGACACATGAAAAATACAAGAAAGAAGAAGATCGGATTAAAAAGTGCTGACATTAACATTGGGGGGAGGGAAAAACATTTTTGACTTTAATGTCACTTTAACAGCAGCACTAAAGTCTTCTATACTTAACTCCCCTGCAGCGATGCAACATCTTCAAGCTCCCTGCTGGCGCCCACATTTTTGCCCCGTGTCTGTGCTACCTGAGTGGATACAAATGCTGGGGTATGTTCCTGACATCCATTCAAATTATATTGGATAAGCTACAAAAATGTCTTACTTGATAAAGAACAAGTCCAGTTGAATGTGACTAACTACTATCCCCGCTGGGGAGATCAGCGGGGATCCAGAGAAGCGGCGGGAGGAGAGGACATGGCGATCTACCAGTGATCGCTATGCGATCGACTGGTAGATCGCGATCGACCTTGTGGGCACCCCTGCCCTAGATAAACCATGATTTGGATGAATGAGAACCTTCACAGACATCTTTGGTCAGTCTTCCTCTAGGTTCGGCATCTTCGGCCATTTTGGTTGATTGGCCTGGTATTACGTAACTCCCACACATGCACACGAGAGGTTATTCATCCCAGAACCAAGACATGCAAAGTTGTTCATGTATGTCTCTTTAATTGATAGCCTGTCTGCTTTGAAAGGTTGGGGAAAGGTCCACCTTAAGGGCATAAGTTGGCAGTGAACCTCAATAGGGGAACCGCTGGCCTGGCATTGATCAGAGAGGCGAGGTAGGAGAAGACTTACAAAAGAGGTGTAATGTATTACCTGAGGAAGAAGCAGCTTTTCATACAGAGCTAACAGAGTCCACTTCCCAGCGCCAGATCTCTGGAGTCTTCCCGGCTTGTTTGTCTTGGCGTGTGGGCCCGGGGACTGAGCAGCTGCTGTAGCTCACTTTATAGAGGTATTAACCTTGCACACGGGCTGATGTAGCTCTTTGCTTTCATGAGAATAGCACAATATACACTTGCTATTTTTCTTTGAGAGCGGAGAAGCGGCCAGGCACTGGAGACTGTTAATACCTCGTTCACGTAAATTTATAAAGGAACATTTAAATAGGAAAGCCGGGCCGGGGAAGGTGGGAGTCGGTGGAGATCCCATAATTAGTCTGCTGGAAAAGTTATAATTTCACATCATGCTGCAGCTGAATTTTGTCGCCATTTAATACCTCCTCGGGTCACCTGGGCATATCGGCTGTCATGGAGGACAATTAGCGTTTTCAGCTTTTCTTAGAAGAAAGTCATTGTTTTTACTGCCTGTGGGCCGCTGTAACACAGTTCTGGGTATTGCCAGGCCTCAGGTAATACTTACGCTGGAATTTATAACTTACATCTTGGCTTTTGCATTTGTGACCATGGCTGTGTTGCTCAAGGTTATGATATTATGTATTGCGCCACTTCCATTAAAATAAATATTCACTGACATATATTAGTTACAAATTTACTAACTGAACCTACTTAAATATATGCAAAATATACCGTCTACGCAAACTTTGTTCATGAAGAATTACGCTATATACAACAAGCCCATCCACATAATACGCGAAACAAAGCGAAGCTGTGAGGTGCGGAGCTGAGCGCAGCCAGATGAAAGACTTCATCTTCAGCCAATCGGCTCACGCGTAACAACTCAATGGACTTTGCATCCTGATGTGTGGGTTTATATGCGCAAGCCAATTGGCTGAAGATGACATTTTTCATCTCAGCATGCTCAGTTATGCTAGCTCTTGCAAGCTGGCGCGCCGGTTCGCAAGTTGCAAGACACAGTGCAGACGAAGGTCTGTGCGCCACGGCTTCCCTTTGCTGCGTGCTAGACATGTGCGATTCGTTTTGTTCCGAATCGAAATTCGGACGAATTTTCGGAAATTCGGACATTCGGATGTATCCGAATTCCGAATTACAGATATAACGAATGCAAACGAATCCGAATTTCCGTTTCCAAAATTTGGTAGCGGTAGTTCGTTCGAACGTTCGTCTCGTATTCATTTCGGTCGTTGGAGCAAAGTGTTATTAGAGAAGGAGAAAAACATTTTTCCCCCTCAAAAATGTCACTTTGCTGCAAACGAATGAACGAAACGAAAACTAAACGAACGCTCGAACGAACTACTGCTACAGAATTCCGAATCCGAATTGACTTTCACACCCGATCCCAAAAAACGAAATAACACAAATTCGAATTTAAAACGAAACAAAACAAATTTTTTGGCAGTGCACATGTCTACTGCATGCCGCTTCGCATGCAGTGTGTTACAGCCTTAACATTTTCACAGGTGTCCCATCGCACACCTGACTGGTATGCCCCTCATGGTATATGGTGGCTGCTGCAGTGACCAGCGGATGGCGGCGCACACATGGAGGAAAAAAGTCAACAGCACACAAATAATCCTCGATTGTACCTCTTTATTGATGCATTATCTGAGATAATATGACCTTCTAGGGTCAATTGATTTGAAAAGGAAATGACCTAGGGTCAATAAAGATGTATTATGGAGGATTATTGGTGTGCTGATGACTGACTCTTTTCCTACATCCACACCACATAACTGTAAGGTATTTTCAGAAAAGTAGCTCTTTCTGTGAGAAGCACTCACCCACCAAGGTTCAGTCTAACCAAAACTGATTCCGTGTTTGTAGATGCTGGAGAGTTCAAACTGAACGACAGTTCTTACTCATAAGGCCCATGTTCGAAAAAGCGTCAAAGCTTCTTTTGGTATTTGCTGGCTTTGCTGAATAAAGTTCTCGTTGGTTGGTGGACCGGGCTGTGATGGCTGTTTTCCTGCATTCTGGATCGCCAACAAATAAAAAGCATGGGACTTTTAAGGTGTCAATCTATACATCGTGTCCATCAAACACAAGTAGTTTTATATAAAAAGATGAATTTTATTAATTTAAAATCAACATGATTCAAAAACATCAATAAATCCAAAATGACTCCCACATAGCACAGTAACACATTGAAAACAAACTACCTCCTTAGGGTCCCACATGTGTATATACACATCTCATATTTTTTCATACTCGTCCATAATCATAAATTTGTAACTTTAATATAGTCCAAAGTGGGCACGATTTTCAACGCATTTCACAACTGCATGTGCTTCATCAGGAAGGTTGGAGGTAATCTGTTACAAGAAATCCCATCAAACTTGCTGTTCAGAACCAGCATTCAAGGAATATGGTCATTCAGTTTAACTTGTGTTTGTAAACCCTAAATCTTTGTGTTTGGCCATATGCCATTGTATGGAGTTTTCTTAAGTAAATCATTTTTTGTAAATTTGTTGCAATGTTTCTTACCTGGACACCCTGCCAGTGACAGCACTTCCTGATGCAGGCAGACAATGCTAAGTTACTGCCTACCAATTAGCAGCAGTGTTGACAGCCTGCTTCTTCATTTGGCCACTGAGCTGCTTCCTCCAGACTGCTTACCACCCCCAGACCTGATAGACAGCCCAACCATGGAAGTTCAAGCGGTAAGAAGACAACGCTGCTGCTAATTGCGAGGAAGGGGCTTAGCGCTGTCAGCCCACAACAGGAAGTTCTGTTACTGGCAGGATCTCCAGGTAACAGATTTTCAAAAAATTCACACAAAACGATTTGCTTAAAGGAGAACGCCACTTTTGCTAAAATTTATTATAGCATGTGCAATTGCTACACAAGACATTTTTTAATTAAATGTTATTAAAAATGACCTTTCCATTTCAATCTGAAGCTGCTGTAATTTTCTAAAACTGTTCAAAAGAGTCAATGCAATATGGCAACCTAGAGGTGTTCTGTACACAGTTGAAGTACGGAATGCCTCCAGATTTGTCGTCTCTTGCTTCATACGATTGGCTCACTGAGTTTCTCAGAAGTATAATTTTTAGGCATCCTTTGCACTAGGAATTTCATTTTTGGAGACATGCTCCCTAAGAGTTAACTACTTCTAAAAAGATGCTGACACTGCAACTTTCCTGCAACTGAAAGTGCACTGGGTGGTTATAACAAATCTGACCCTCCCATTCAGGAATCAGTCTGGGGAGGAAATGGTTAAAAAAACAGATAAAAGTAGAATCTGTAACAAAGTTTGTTAAAATCATTGCAACATGTATACACAGTTTATCTTTTAATGCATAACTATTGAATATTTATTATTTACATAATTTAGGATAAGAAATAAGCACGTTCTCTGTTGTCACTTTTTTTTAAATCCAACGGACAAATAGCTGATCAACATACATCCCTATATACATCATTCTGTCCTATGTATGTAACTGTATAATAAATTAAAGAGCATGAAAGATACAAAGTTACAAATGTACAAGTCCTTCATTGTCTCCTGTTAGTCATCCCAGCAATACAGTAAACAGTATATGGTCTTAAATAAACTCTTGAATTAATAAGAATATAATAGTCTGTGCTCACTTGAAGGAGCTGAGGGAGTTTTACATACTCAGACAAAGTCATTGATTTGATAGCCGTTAAGTGAGGCAGAGGACCAGGAGGGGGTATGGATGCTTTTGTGGACTGGAGCTGGCCTACTCATGGGTGCCCTCTGTAGGAAATGTGATGGATGGAGATATGGCACTTGCTCAGCGGTCTTTTGGCAAGAAGTAAACAGCAGCATGATTCCTCCAATGATGGTCAAGCCACCTGATAAAAAGCCAACATAAAGAGCTTGCCCGATCTCAAACTTCATCCCATAGGGAAGAGCAGGGTTGTAAAAGTCATTGACCACGTCATTGGTACACCAGGCCACCGGAATCAGGCACGTGAAGCCAGCTAGGAGGAAGAGGACACCGCCAAGGACCCCATTCATCTTCTTGGCCGATGAGCCTTTAGCACACTGGGTGCACTTCATGCCAAAGACAGAGATGACACAGGCCAGTAGTGAGAAGACGCAAGATGTGACCATCATACCTCGGGCAATCTGAAGATCTCGAGGAAGGGCCAACTGAGACTGGTGGACCTGGCACTGGTAAATTCCTGTACTGTGCCACACGCATTCCATCCAAAGGCCCTTCATGTATGCCACAGCCGTGATGATGTTGGTGCCAACGTGAGCAGTCCGCCACCAGTGAGGAAGCACCGTGGCAATAATGGTTCCTATAAAACCGATAAGGCAGGTGAAGAAGCCCAGTAACTGAACTGCCATGCTGGCCATGGTGACTTCAGGACCAGGGTTGAATTTTCTCACTGCCACTAAGTTCCTTTTCTTTTGAGAAATGATGGCCAGTTCTCACCTGTGCCTGCACTAATAATGCAAGGAAAGTCTACAGAAGTTAAACATTACTGGAATGTGTTATTCCAGCGGCCAGTGAGACAGGAGCTATTAACTGCTCCGTTAGCAAATTAATGACTGGCTTTTTGCTGGAAAAAAACAGAAAAACTCAGTGAGATTTCATGCTTCTTTTCAAAACCATTCTGCATTATGTTGTGCACTGCTATTATTATACCTGCATTACTAGCTGTGGAAGATCCAATGTAGTTTAAATTAGGGATGAGTTCCCCTTGTCTTTAAACAGCACATGATCACTTAAAAAAACCAATGAGGGACATTTATCAAACAAGTTGGCAGCAAAACTTAGGTCCCATTCCTACTAGCCATGTGCGTGAATGCACGTAGCGTTTTTTGTGTGGTTTTGCCTGTTTTTGTTGCACATCCGTATAATGCAGCCAACTTCAATGAACTTCCCTACACGCAATAAACCCAGTGAAGACGCTCAAGCAGTTCTTTGAGCTGCAAGTTTTTGACGTATGTTACATAGTTAGTCAGGTTGAAAAAAGACACAAGTCCATCAAGTTCAACCTATATTTTCATGTATTTGTCACGTGGGATTGCATGTGCAAAAGCATGCATCTTGCTTGCCATGTTTGGGGTGCCATTAAAGTGACACTGAACTCAGGAGTTAAATCTTAAAAATACATTCAGGTACCTTAACAATTAACAAAAATGTATCATATTTGTGTATCACTCAGCTGTAGATCCTCCAATCATCTCTGAATTGGTGCTGACACTGTCCTTCCTTCTGGAGGGTGACTACTTTTGTTCCCCATGGTACCTGTGTGTTGTAAAGTAGTCACCGCTCCAAGCTCACTCCTGGGATGGACTACAATCTCATGTTTAGTTTTCAGTGTCACTTTAACAATAGTCGCAAAATCGCAGGAAGTCTCAATGCAGGCTAAATGTGCAACCTCTTCTCTTGGAGTTCTGGGCAGATTCACAAAGGTTGCTGTTGGATTTAGCAGTGCAGATGAGGCAGAATTTGACCCTTTGAAATGTATGAACAATGAAAGCTCATCTTCATACAAAGTAATTATCCTCCTGAGTGACCTTGACACTTCCTATTGGCTGTCCAGCACTGGAGTCCTCTGAAGTTCCAGAAACGGCAGGTGCTGATGTCAGTCAGTATGAGGAGACCACTGGCGCAGCATATATGAAGTTCTGGATTATGAGTTCACAGGAAATGGTGCCAATGATGTTAGTAGAAAATGCTCCAATACTTAATTGATTAAAGGGGGCGGGGTGATACGCAGTTGGGCTTTAAAAAGTGGTCAGGAGCAAGAGCAGGCTTTATTTTTTTGCAGAGCATCTGGGCGAAATTTCAGAATAAAGATGGAATTATATAGTAAGGGTCAGTTCACACCACAAGCTCCGCGTTCCAGTGCGTTCGGCCTTTGGAAGGCACTGGAACGCAAGCCGGTCGGCTCCCTGCGTTCAGGGGCCCCCTCAGCCACTCCTCTGCCCACAGTGCGATCATCCGCACCCGGAACACAGGCACATTAGTGCTTGCGTTCCGGTCCAGCGCGATCTGCAAAAATACTGCAAGCACTATTTTTGCAGAACGCACTGGACCGCAACGCATACACTAATGTGTCTGTGTTCTGGGTGTGGCCGATCGCACTGCGGGTAGGGGCCTTGGCTGCGGTGCCATTGACTTCAATGCACCGCCATGCCCCCTCCCGCCCCTGAACGCAGGGAGCCAGCAGGCTTCCGTTCTAGTGCGTTCAAGAGGCTGAAGCACTGGAACGCAGAGTTTGTGGTGTGAAACGGCCCTAAAACTGTCTCACTTTTCCTGTTTAGCATTGCCTTGCTGTGCAACAAAACTAATAACTCTCCCTCAATGTGTTTGAATCTTTATTTTAGGATAGCATGTAGAGTTATGCAAATAATTTCACAACAAGATGCATGTTAGACTATTCACTCAAATGCAGAGTTGGGAGGCAGTTGTCACACCATAACAGGAAATACCTGAACAAGGACCTTCATGGTAGGATCACCGGGTATTCTTTTAAACCAGAAGTAAAGCAGATTTTTTAAAAAGAGAGTTGGGAGATTTTTCAGGATTATTTTTTAATTTTTATTTTTTAATAGACACGTTTAGCCATAATGTTCTAGCATATAAGGCACATTAGCACATTATGACATTCCGACCTGCCAAGGTGATCCCCTCCAGCTCTTCGATGTCTGGGCTCTCCTCTCTCGCCAGCACTCATTTAAAATAAAAAGCTTATTTATAGTTTGGATTCACTCTACTGCATTATAAAAACTCTGCATTTCTGTATGTCACAGGATAACTTTACAAAGAAGAATTCATAAAGACTAGAATAAAAAGTATTGTGCCCCTTTAAGTGGGATTCAAGGTCGTCCATTAGATGAGATAACTGGTTACAAATAAGGGCTCACAGGAAATACACTCCCGTGTTAAAATATTCATTTTCCTAATGATCCCTGCCATTTTTAGAAACCATTACTGGGCTATTTTTAGCATCTGGCTTCCAGGCTCAACCTTATGTTTCTAAATCTGGAAAGTTTGTGCGAAGTAGGACATGACTTGTACGGGGTCACTTGCTAATGATGGGATTAGTATTTGCTAATTTCTAACTAACGGTTTGGTTACTTTATCAATTTATGTTCCGTGACAAATTTTTATACACAATGCTTTTTTCATGTATATGGATTTTTTTAGTTTGACATCTTTCTCTGTGTTTATAACATGTGCTGCCAATAATGAAACAATGTTAGAGGGGAATTTCAGCTACGGTATTATCAGGTTACTTTCAACCACATAAAAATGCCAAAACTGACACTTTATGACGTACAGTATACATTGGTAAAGGGTCAGTTCATGTGAAACAGATATTTCAGTGTTTAGCAGAAGCTAGAGAGTAAAACCATCTACCTCTCATCTACCTTTCATTTACCTCTCATTTACCTCTCCCCTATCTCTCATCTATCTCTCATCTACCTCTCATCTATCTCTTTTCTATCTCTCATCTGCCTCTCATTTATCTCTCATCTACCTCTCATCTGCCTCTCATCTACCTCTCATCTACCTCTCATCTACCTCTCATCTACCTCTCATCTACCTCTCATCTACCTCTCATCTACCTCTCATTTACCTCTCATCTGCCTCTCATCTATCTCTCATCTATCTCTCATCTACCTCTCATCTATCTCTTTTCTATCTCCCATCTGCCTCTCATCTGCCTCTCATTTATCTCTCATCTATCTCTCATCTGCCTCTCATCTACTTCTCATTTATCTCTCATCTGCCTCTCATCTACCTCTCATCCACCTCTCATCTACCTCTCAGCTATCTCTCATCTCCCTCTCATCTACCTCTCATTTATCTCTCATCTGCTTCTCATCTATCTCTCATCTGCCTCTCACATCTACTTCTCATTTATCTCTCATCTGCCTCTCATCTACTTCTCATCTGCCTCTCATCTACTTCTCATTTATCTCTCATCTGCCTCTCATCTATCTCTCATCTGCCTCTCATCTACATCTCATCTACCTCTCATCTACCTCTCATTTACCTCTCATCTACTTCACATTTATCTCTCATCTGCCTCTCATCTACATCTCATCTACCTCTCATCTACCTCTCATTTACCTCTCATCTAATTCACATTTATCTCTCATCTGCCTCTCATCTACCTCTCATTTATCTCTCATCTGCTTCTCATTTATCTCTCATCTGCCTCTCATCTACCTCTCAGCTATCTCTCATCTACCTCTCATCGCCCTCTCATCTACCTCTCAGCTATCTCTCATCTACCTCTCATCTACCTCTCATCTACCTCTCAGCTATCTCTCATCTCCCTCTCATCTACCTCTCATTTATCTCTCATCTGCTTCTCATCTATCTCTCATCTGCCTCTCACATCTACTTCTCATTTATCTCTCATCTGCCTCTCATCTACTTCTCATCTGCCTCTCATCTACTTCTCATTTATCTCTCATCTGCCTCTCATCTATCTCTCATCTGCCTCTCATCTACATCTCATCTACCTCTCATCTACCTCTCATTTATCTCTCATCTACCTCTCATTTATCTCTCATCTGCTTCTCATCTACCTCTCATCTATCTCTCATCTACCTCTCATCTGTCTCTCATCTGTCTCTCATCTGTCTCTCATCTATCTCTCATCTACCTCTCATCTATCCCTCATCTATTTTTTATGTACTTCTCATTGACCTCTCATCTGCCTCTCATCTACTGCTCATTGACCTCTCATCTACCTCTCATCTATCTCTCATCTGCCTCTCATCTCTCAGTGAGTCTATTGGGGAGATCTTGGCCCTCATTTCCTGCGTCTGTGCCCATTTGAGGGTCTCCCACTCTCCCTCAATCAAAGCTCTTGCAGTGGAGATAAGTCAAAGCATCAACATTATTGTCTATCTCCACTGCAAGACCTGTCAATTCCTCTGTACCTAGGTTTCTTTTTTATGGATATTTTTGTGGATGAGCACCCAGGCATTTACCTTACAAACAGAGTGCACTGGATAACCCTAGGGCTGACTATTCATACAGTATATATACAAATTTTAAAGCAATTAATGCTTACCTGTACGGCTGCCTACACCACTGAACTCCTCTGCAGTGAAGAGAAAATCTTCTGCATTCAACACTTACAGGAGTATCAGATACTGGTTTCCCCTGCTGCATTCTGTGGTTCCTTCCACAGACTCATACACCGACAGTGCACAGGGGGGCAGTGGAGGAAACTATAGGGTGCACCTTGAGACCAGGCATCAGGCAACCACAGACACAGTACACAGACTCCAACAACTTATAGTTTATAGGTTTTCCATTCACTCCAGGCAGCTGAATGGATAAAATGAGGAAGAAAAAGAAGGGTATGTGGTACTGGTATGGTCTGCTTTCAAAGCCTGATTGAACATTCAGTTTATATCAGCTAAATACATT